GGGATTGAACTCAGGCCCTTGCGCTACTAAGCTATCTCCCCGGCCCCGAGTAACTTTAAAGTACAAAAAGAATGAACTCAGTCACTGCAGAAACATTTCATGTTTTTTCTTTTAACCACTTACCAGAACAATTATGTAAAGACAAAATGACCAAAACTTTCATTTAAATTAATTTAACAAGAAATACAAAACAATTTTATTGAATTTATTTAATAATTTTTCTGTGAATGGTAAATCTGCCTGAGTGACACTCAGGATAACTCAATATACATAAACAATCACACTGTCCAAACAATGCTTGTGGTAAACTGTTAAGTGGTTAAGGCCTAACAGATACATAAACTCTTTACTTGGGGCAGACTGAACAATTTCTATTTTACCTTCTGGAGAAAATATAGTTGTCCTGGAGTCATATCTTCGAGACTGCAAAGGCAAAACATACAAATGATTCCTAGCCACTGAAAATTAGCCAATTCTCACAAGCCCATAAATCACAAAATGTATGGTGCACAGGTTCAATGTGTGGGACACATTCGATAAAAATGATACCACCCCGTCTCCTTCTGCTTCTATTCAATTTTCTCATGCAAGTTTGGAGGCTGAGTGAAAGCAATACTATTTCTCAGCATAATTTATTAGCTTGTGTTATTAACTCACCATTGTTTTTGGATTTTAGAAAATTCCTGTAGAAAGAAAAAAGGATCATCATTAAAATAAAATTCACAATTTAAAATGTATTTCCTTACTTTAAAAATCGGTTTTATTTATTCTATTCAGCTTTTACTGTGTACCTGCTAAGTGTTGGGCAATTATCTAGATGTTGAAACATCATAATAGGGGCTGGTGAGATGGCTCAGTGGTCTAAAGCACCTACTTAGAACAAGCTTAGCAAATCAGAGGGACCACGGTTCAATCCCCCAGCACCACATGCCAGCCAGCCCTGCCCCCTGGTGGGCTGAGCTGGCCACACACACACACACACACACACAAAAAAATAAAAAAAATTAAAAAAAAAAAAAAAGAAACATCATAATAAATGCAATCCCTGACCTGAGAGCAATGTGAAGCCGTGGTGGCACATGCCTGTAATCCCAGCGCTTAGGTGGCTGAGGCAAGAGGATCCTTACCAGTTTGTGACCAGCCTGGGCTACAAAGTAAATTTAAGGCCAGCTGAACTGCATAACGAGTCCCTGTCTCAAAAAGACAAAGTAAAATAAAAGTAATGCGGAAAGAGGCACTCAATGTGGGGTAGGAAAAGAAATGGAGAAAATTATAAAAATTTTTTTTTGAGAAAAAGATAGAGACACTGAATTAATGAGAGACTGGTGAAGCAGAGACAAGTTGAAAACCTGCAGGTCTGAAAGGAAAAACAAGAGGAAGGGAGAGAGGGGCCCTGCAGGCAGAGGATAAGGCGCGAACAAAGCTGGAGAGCTCAATGGGCAGGAGCCACTGACTTAAGTTTGACGTGGGGAGGGGGAGTGGGGTCCTCCGTGAATTTGAGGATGGGGACAGTAATCCATTTATAAAAAAATACAACAGCCAAGATTCTATGTTTTTAAAAAAAAAAAAAAAAAAAAAACCTTGGGTCCAAAGCCCATAATACTTCAGAGAATCAAGACTGGAAACTAAGTAGGGTCTTAGTCAGGGGTCTCCACCAAGACTCAGAAGAGCCTTAAGGGCCACAGAAACGGGCAGTTCACCAAGATCACACAGGCCGGCGAGAGGCTGAGGCAGGTCGGTCCTCGGCTCCCACAGCCAGGTTTTGGGGGGTAGCGGGCAGCGCGGCGGAGAGGCCCGGAGAGGAGGTGGGGCGGGGGTCTGCTCGCGTGTCAACACTACGACCGCACCTCCGCGCGCGACGCCTCCCCGGCGCGACTCTGAGCACTCCGCACATGCCCCGGTGCTCACGTTCGCGTCCCGGACACCACAGTTGGAGGCGCCCCGGCCCCTCGGCCCTGGGCCGACCCCTCGGCTGCCCACCGTCCTCCGTGGGCCCGGCCAGAGCCCGCCATCCCGGCCCCAGGCGGGGAGCAACGGCAGCCGGCAGCGGCCAGTCCGCGGAGGCGGATGCACAGTCATCGGCCCACAGCTTCTCGGCGGCCGCAGCAAGCCGACCGGCTACCTCGCCGTTCACGACCCCCGCCCTGAGGTCAGCGCCCACGCTTCTGCGAGCCCTCGGGGTGGACGAGGCTCACCCGAGAGGAAACAATGAAGAACCGAGAGTTACAACGACCGCCGTCCTCCGTAAGGACCGAGAAGCAACGCCGTTGCCCGAAGACCGCTCCGCAGATGGCCGCCGCGCATGCGCAGAGCCGCGGGGGGCGGGACGGTGAGAACCCGGAAGTTCCCCGGAAGCGGGCCGAAGATTAGCAGGCTGGGAAGGCGGCGCCTTCAAGGTGTTCTAGGTGGAGCGTGCCGCGCGGGCCCCGCTCCTGGCGGTGCAGAGGAGTGGAGTTTCCGAGCTTGCGCTGGAGCGTCTGCAATTTCAGCCTGCGCCCTACACGCTATTACTTTTACTTTGCGTGGCGTAGACTAGCTAGCAGTGTCCTTGGACCGAGTTAAATAGCCTGCCTTTTCAGTTCTGACACATATACATGTTCCAGCCACGGCCAGCTAAACTTTCTGCCCAGCATCTCCTCAGATTTGGCTTCCACTTTTATGGCTGATATATGCCTATTTATGTATTGGTGTTTTTGAGACAGGGTCTTCCTGGACTGTGCAACCTGGCTTTGAACTCATTATGTAACCCAGGCTGTCTGCCAACTCGCGATGGACCTCCTGCCTCAGTCTTGAGTACTGGGATTGGGGGTGTATGCCACCGCACCTGGCTCGTTTAGTTTTTTAAATGTATAAAACAAATCATGAGAGGCCAGAGAGATAGCACAGAGGACTAAGCGTCTGCTTAGGCAAGTGTAGGAACTAGGGTTCCATCTCTGACCCCACATGCTGCCCCACCCTCGCCCCTGGGGCACACAGCGGCCACAGAGACTGAGTGTGGTGGTGCACACCTGTAATCCCAGTGCAGGGGAGCCTGAAAACAGGAGGATTACTGAGTACGAACTGCCTAAAGAGAATCTGTACCAAATGCATTTTTTTTAAAAAGTCACGATGGGTTGGCACTTTTGGAAGAACTTTCACTTTGGTCTCTGCCTCAGAAAAGATTTACCCCATCAACTTACTTAATACCCGACATCACTAAACACACAGCGTTTTATCTTTGCAGTGCTGTCCTGTATTCATCTCTCCACCTTTTTTTATCCAACTATGTAAAGTCCTATTTGCTTAGTCTGGAGGGAGTATAGTGGGCTGACTACATCTGGGTTAATAATGTAGTTCTTTCAGAGCATCGGGCAAGGAGTTTGTCCTCTCTATGTAGGATGCAAAGCTTTTAGACTGGACTTTGACAAGGCGGTAGCTTAGGAATGAGTTGCACTCTGAAGTCCTGTCATTTGTGCTTCCCAAGTGGAGAGGTGAACTGGCATAGTGCCATACCCAGACAGTGTCCTGAAGCATCCTCAGGCGTCTTAATTTAAGCTACCTCTGAAAGCCCTTGCCTTTCCAATTTAGTTCATTCTTCAGGTCAGCAAACACTTGAGTTTTAAGTGATAGGTAGGATGCCTTAAGTCAAAGAAAGGGGACCAATTGAGATAAAAGGGCAGAAAAATGAGTTTGACAAGTTTAGGTGGTAGACTAGTTCAGTCTGGCCTGAGTAGAAGAGTGGGAGCAATAAGCAAGAAGTAAGGGAGGACAAGCATTTGAGGCCAAGCTGTAGGATGCTTTTTGACACTACACTCTTTTTTCTTATTGGAAATGGGAAATTAAGATGAAGTGACCTGTCATCTTGATGAGGTCCCCAGTTCTCCCATCTGTCATATTTTTTTTTTTTTTTTTGACAGGGTCTACAGGGTCTACAGGGCCTACAAGGTTTCACTATGTAGATCGAACTCCTAGCGAGTCTCCTGTTTTCAGCCTCCGAAAGCACTGGGATTACAGGCAGGCACGCACCACCATGCCCCACGTGCGGGCCGGCATGGCACACTGGGGTTTAGTCCACTGAGCTATCAGGCTGGCCCTTAAAAGTTGAGAAGGATTTTTTTTTTTTTTTTTTTTTTTTTTTTTTTTTTTTTTGCTGGCTCAGGCTGCCTCAATTGTGGGTTGTGTTAAGGCATTTGGAGCTGGGAATCAAACCAAGGTCCCCTGCACCTGACTGTGTTTGCCTGCGCAGGCACTTAAACAACTGAGCTAACCTGCAGGCCCCTTCATCTGTCATAGTCTTACAGTGTGCCACTGATCATTCTCACAAAGAGGTTCTGTGTCATGTTGCCCTGAAACTGGGTGAGCCAGAAGTGATAATGTGACTTCTGAGAATAGGCCATAAAAAGTAATATACTTATACCTTTTCCTCTTGGGTGACCCTTCATTTTTGTGAGCAAACATAGAGCATGAGGAGAGATGTCTGGTCACACCTCAGATGTGGTTCTAGCATCACCTGCCACATAGATGAGAGCAGATTCCTCCAGATACTTTTGGTCCCCAGTGATCAATTTTCTCAAGCATCAACTAGTTCACCTTTCAAGTCCTCTCAGTTGAGGCCCTGGGTATTGTGGAGCAGAGACAAGATTTCCTCCAGCCTGTGTTCAAGACCCATGGGAATCATGAGATAATAACATGATTGGAGGTGTACATCACTGAATGTAAGGATAAGAAGACCAGAAAGTAAAGCTTCACTATCAACTACAAGAGAAATATCTGGACAGAAAAAGGCAAAGTGTTTTTGCCAGACATTTGGCATGGATTCCCAAATCTAAAATTTTGTTTTCTCTTTATTGGTGGAAAAGACTGAACCTGGCACCTTTAAGTGCTTTCATTCTTACAGTTCATTCAACAGATTTTTATGGAGGGCATGCTTGGGAACTGTCATGGCACGTTTCTGAAGTCGCTATGATATTCAATTTATTTCCTGTACTAGTAAGGTTTCCAGAGAAACAAAGCCATTAGGACAGATGATAACAGGGAGTTTATTATGGGAATTTATAGGTGGATTTGTGGTGTGATTACAGAAGCCAAGAAGAAGTCCACATCCAAGCTGGAGAACCAGGGAAGCTGAGTCCAGTGGCCTGAGAACCGGCGAGCTGATGATGTAAATAGGTTTAAGCCAAAGGCCTGAGAGGCTGGGGGCTACTGGTGTAGGTCCTGGAGTCCAAAGGGCAAGAATCTGGATTTCTGATGTTCAAAGGTACTAAAAGGTGGCTCTTTCAACTCCAGAAAAAAGACTGGATCATTCTTCCATGGACTGGATGTGCCTATTCACCTTGGTGAGAGGGTCTTCCTCACTCAGTGCTCTAGTTCAGAATCCTCACAAGCACACCCAAAAGGAATGTTTTCTCTGTTATCAGAGTAGCCCTTCACCCAGCAAAATGGACACCTAAGATTAGCCATTAACAGTCATCCAAGAATTTATGAAGCTGGAACTCATGATTAAAGATCAGCTAGAACAAACTCCAAACAGTAAAATATTAGTTCAGTGTAACATATGCTTAATTACTAAAATGTAGCCAGACCTGGGGGAGCACACTTATAATCCTAGCACACTGCAAGGCAGAGACAGGAAGATTGCAACTTCAAGCCCACCTTGCAACTTAGCAAGAAACTGTCTCAAAATTTAAAAAATTAAATTAAAAAAAATAAGGTAGTGATGGTGCTGAAAATATAGCTCAGTGCAAAGATCCTGGGTTCAATCTCTAGTACCACACCAAAAGGTAAAGAAGAAAAAGAAGAGCAAGATGAAGAGGAAGAAGAAGAGAAAGAAAGAGAGAAAGAAAAAAAAAGGATCAATCTTAAAGTAGTGGTCAGCAATATTTATATCAGGAATTCAGTGAAAAAAATCCACGTTGACATGAATAGTTGTCTTAGTGACTCTCCTGTCACTGGAACAAAATACCTAACATCTACAACTTAAAAAGAGAGAGATTTAAAAAAAAAAAAAAAAAAGACTGGGTGTGGTGCATAGGCCTGTAATCCCAGCTCTTGGGAGGCTGTAAACAGGCGGATCACTATGATCTAGTAGTGAGATCCTGAACATCCTGTAGACCCTTCTCTTAACAAAAAAAAAAAAAAAAAAGTAGTTTCAGGTTGACTATGGTTGGCTGGCTCCAAGACAGAAGGGGGAAGAAAGGTGGGAAGGGCCTGGGGGAGGGCAGCTGTTAACCCCTTGGCAGCCAAGAAGCAGAGAGAAGGAGCCAAGACATGAATACACCCACCCTAATCTTGCCCAGTGACTACCTCCAACCAGGCTTCACCTGCTGACAGCCCAGCGTGCTACTGGACTAATCAATGAATCCACTGATGATACAGCACCCCCATGATTCAACTACCTTCTACACACATGCCACTTGGAAGACAGTTTAGGTCTAAACCACAACAGCAATCAAGAGGGAAATTCAGAGCCAGGATAAGTTTGATTTCCAGTACAAAAAGGAGAGGGAGGAGGAGGAAGAGGAAGAGGAGGAGGAGAAGGAGGAGAAGAGAAGGAGGAGGAGGAGAGGGGAGGGGAGGGAGGGGAGGTAGAGGAAGAGGAGGGGGAGGAAGAGGAGGAGCAGGGGGAGGAGGAACAGGGGGAGGAGGAGCAGAGGGAGGAGGAAGAAGAAGAGGAGCAGGAAGAGGAGGAGGAAGAAGAGGAAGAGGAAGAGGAGAGAGAAATCTGTTTGGGTTCATTACAGAGGAAGATGAATAGTGACTTGGGAGTGAACCAAATTTCAGTCCATTTTCCTGGTGTGTAGTTTTCTTAATGGTCAAGTTAGATAAAAGTCACACTTCTTTAAATTTGAGAAGCATGAGTGATTTTGTGTGAGTGATCTCACTGTTTCCCCCTGCCATGTGTTTGAGGTCACCTGAGGGTGTGTGTGTGTGTGTGTGTGTGTGTGTGTGCACGCGCAGGGAAGACAGAAGCAGAGGGAAAGCAGAGGAGATAAGCTGTATAAGACTTTGCAGTGGTCAGGAGCATGGACTACATTGCAGACCTGATCGCAGCCCTGGCTCTGAGTAAATAAATAATCTTAATATGCTTCACTATTGGGCCGGGGAGATGGCTCAGTGGAATGAGCACTTCCCTGGCAAGCGCAAGGGCCTAGTTCAATTCCTGGTTCTGCCAAAAAAGAAAAAAATATGCTTCACTATTAAGATCTCAGTATGCTTCCTTGCAACTCTACTGTCTCCCAGCACCTGTCTCAGGAGTTCCAGTTTCAATCACCTCCTCACATTTCACCCCAGAAAGAATGGCTTTTATCAGGAAGTCGACCAATAACAAGTTCTGCAAGACAAAACAATAACAAAACACACACACACACACACACACACACACACACGTTCTGGTAGGCTATGGAGAAAAAGGAACTCTTCTCTACTGTTGGTGGGAGTATACACTGGGGCAACCACTGTGGAAATCGTGTGGAGATTCCTAAAAAAACTGAGACTGGGGTTCCATTTAACCCACATATTCTCCTTCTTGGTATCTTCTCAAAAAATAAAAAAAATAAAAATAAAAGCATCATACCACAACAATACGTGCACACTCATGTTTATAGCAGCACAGTTTGTAATAACGAAACCTATGAAACAACCCAAGTGCCTATCGACTGAGGAACAGATAAAGATGTGATTTTTGTCATAAAGGATAAGCTCAAGGTATTCCTAGGAAAACAGATGCACCTTGAGTCTATACTTTTAAGGGAAATAAATCAGATACATGTGTTAATACCTCATTGTTTCTCTGGTGTTTGAGACTGAAAGTGTAAATAAGGACCCAAATGTATAATAGGTATTGTGAAACAGGAAGAAAATGTTCAAATGGGGAGGGGTACAAGAAAAGGGAAAGGAAGTAAAGAAAAAAGGGAAAAGTTAAAAAAAAAAAAAAAAAAGTGAGAGGCCGGGGAGATGGCTCAGCAGAATAAGCACTTCCCTGGCAAGCACAAGGGCCTGAGTTCAACTCCAGTTCCGCAAAAAAAAAAAAAAAAAGTGACAAAAGAAAAAAAACATGGATACAAAGCTTTTGTAAATGTGGATGAGAGGAGGGGCTGAAGGGAGGGTAGGGGAATGGGAAAAAAAGAATCAAGTTAAATCATGTACAGGTACAAATTCTCTACAATGAATGTGATGAAAAATAACATTATAATCTGAATTTTAAAAATCACCTCCTCAAAGAGCTGAGCTTTTTGTGCTATAATTACATCTGTGTTTCTTCCAAAGGCATTGCAGCAGGTGCCTTCCAGTCTTTCTTTTTACATTCATTTTGCAAATAATACATTGAAAAACCTTTCTCTGGGAAAAGGACAATCACAGGTGTGAGACGAAGGGATGAGGAGACAAAAGCAAGTTGTTTGTGGTCTCTTGCATTGACCCCATAGCTCTTGGGCTAGGAGACTGCACAAGGGTAATGTAGTACACAAAGCAATGGCCGTGAAAAAGAATGTACAGAGTCTAGAAAGGAGACAGCAATTTCATAGAATTGGTGATGTGTTTGCCAGACTTGCACTTAAGTCATTGATTGAAGGCCTGAAACAGACCTCAAGATGATCTGATTCAAACCTATTTTGTTTTTTGTTTTTTTAATTTTTTTTTTAACATTTATTTATTTATTGTGTGTGTGTGTGTCCAGCTCAGCCCACCAGGGGGCGGGGCTGGCTGGCATGTGGTGCTGGGGATTGAACCGCGGTCCCTGTGCTTTGTTTTAGCCTCGCTTGTTCTAAGTAGGTGCTTTAGACCACTGAGCCATCTCACCAGCCCTCAAACCTATTTTGTAGGTTTCACACCCAACGCACATGGTCCCATGGAGAACTAAATTCTGCATGTAAAAGTAAGTGGTCCCACTGTATCATTTTTATTGTTTTTCTCTTTAAAATAAAAATAAAAAATAAAAAGTGGTCCTGAGAATAGGCATGGTGGTGCATGCCTGTGACCTCGGCACTTGGGCTGCTTAGTGAGCTCAACACCAGCCTAAACACACAGTAAGACTTTGTCTCAAAACAAACAAAAACACAAACAAAAAGTGGCCCTAAGTTCACTTGAAGACTTTAAGGTAGTGATTTAAACCTTTAAGAGACCAAGTGCCCAAACTACAACCCAAGGCTCCCTCATTTTTTGCAAAGTGCCAACACTGCAATTAAGCCTGAATACTGAAGCTTGTGTTTAGAAAAACAAACAAACAAACAAAAAAAAAAACCCTCACACATTAACATCTTGTAAAGGAAAAACACAACCATATGCATGCCACAGGTCTGCCATCACTGCCTTTGAGGTCTTGTGTGCTCTGCCATATTCAGAATGGATTTTTTCCATTTCTTCATTTTTCTCTATGAAAGAACCTCCCTCACAAAATTTGACTTGGCCCCATGGCCTTTGTAATGACTCCAGTGAACACGAACTCTTACCTGGTCATATGAAGCTCCCAGCTTCATAGGACCTGGCAGTTTCAAACCAGACTTTCTCGACCGCTTTCTGGCCCATGTCAAACATCTGCTGTAAGTACTTCCACCCAGTTTTTGCAGTGATCATGAGATACTCTCTGTTCTCTGGGTGCAGCTGGCAAGAGTAGGCAGCCATGACAAGAGACTGACAGAAACGACTGCACACAAGCAGGAACAAAGCACTTCTCTCTATGGCGGTCAGTGGGACAACACTTTCGAACCCTGCCAGGACGTGGCCTCCGACTTGTATGGGGTTCTTGCTCTCAATCATCATGTACATGATGGTGATGGCTGCTTCAAAAACATAGTAGCCGTAGCTCATGTCGCCAAAGTCTAAAACTCCAGACACTTGGTACACAGCATCTTCAGAGGCTGACTTGCTGGGCTGCACTAGAATGTTATAGTCATTAAGGTCGCCATGATTGATGCCTGAAAGCAGAACCATAGTAAGTTACTTTATATCCCAATTCATTATCTCTCTACTTTTTTCCTTAGGCAAGGCTGTTCACAGAATTTGCGGAGCAGTCAGAGAAAAAGGGCCAACTGCCTTTTTTGCATTATTTATTTTATCTGTGGTCTAAGGTAATTACTCTTCACATCACCCCCACCCCCAAAAAAGGCATTCTGCAGGTTGGACATATCTGGTCACCTGGCAGTGGCAATGAGAATAAGAACTTTATTTGCTTTTGAAAACTGCCTGACACTGCCGTCCAGCCAAGTGGATGCTGATGTGCTCTGTGACCTTGCAATCTTGGTCCTACATATCTACCCGAAGAACTAATAAACACATAGACTGGGCTCAGAAATGCTCCCAGCATCACTGTTCTCAGTAGCAGAAAGTGAACAACACTCCAAATACCTTTTAAGATACTGTGCATTCCCAGGTTTGCAACAGCACAACTCCTAACAGCTGAATCTTGGAAGTGGCTCACATGTCCATCACCAGATGAATACACACAGAGAATGTGGTATTTACACACAACAGAGTACTTACTCTGCCATACAGAAGGATAAACCTGATTCGCTGTAGGGAAATGGATGCACCTTGAGACTGTAATGTTAAGTGAAAGAAGTCAGACACCCAAGTTTAAATATCACACGGGTTCTTTTATATGAGAGACCCAAGTATAAATAATTTAAAAAGCAAACTACAAGATGGAAAGTAGGAAACAAGGAGAAAGATTTTTTGCAAAAGGGAAGGGGACCATGAGACAGAGGGAGGCAGGAGGTAAAGGAAAGAGAGCAGATGTAAAAAGAATTGAGCTTGTGTTATGTCGACACACTCCCCATACTGAATGTCACACGTACTGAAAACATGGACTAATAAAAATTTAAAGAATGATGAGCAGTATACTTATGAGCAAGATATCCCATAGTAATAACAGTTAAACTATTGCTACATACAACTTGGGTAATCTCGGGGTAAGTGTAATACTGGGAAAGAGGGAGCATAAACCCCCCACGTGAACCCCGCCCAGGAGGAGGCTTCTGTCGCTTCCTAGCCCAGAGGTGCTGGTGGTGTACGCTGAGGGTATGTATGAAGGTCGGAAGAGAGGGCTCAAGGAGGGCAGACTCCAAAGGCAAAAGGAATCAGTTCTGATACGATGTCAGGTGTGAGAGTAAGAACTGGGCTAAGCCCACGACCTCCAGCTGGATTTGTTCACCAGATCAGTGACATGGATGGTGGCTTCCATTTTCACCAGATAAAGACTGCAGGAAAGCATTATTCAGGTGGAAGAAAATCTTGTTTTTTGTTTTTGTTTTGCCTACACCCTTCTTTATATTTGCACAAAATAAGCAAAGAGCAAAACACTTGTCCTGCCACGCTGACATCACTAGGATACCTTTGGTGCTGAACCACCCAGATGTGTCAGAAAAAAAAGTGGAAAACAACCTAAAATCCCCTTAATGAGAAAGGACAAGAAGGCATGGTACTCTCAAAAAGATGAAGGCATACTGGCAATACTATTCACAATTAAAACTGATAAACTAAATAAACTAGAACTATATATGTTGATGTGGGTAAACCTGGATGCATGTTGAACAACACCAAAAAACAACAACAACAAAACAGGCTTTAGAATGATAATACACAATGCACTACCATTTATAAAGTTGGAAAATTGAAAACACTGCTATGAATCATTTGTAAGTCATACATATATAGAATGCAAATTCAATCATGTAGATTTTAAGGGAACTTCAAATGTAATAATTTTGTCTTTCACTTTTTTTTTAAATTTTATTTATTTATGTGTGTGTGTGTGTGGCCAGCTCAGCCCACCAGGGGGCGGGGCTGGCTGGCATGTGGTGCTGGGGGATTGAACCGCGGTCCCTGTGCTTTGCTAAGCTTGCTCTAAGTAGGTGCTTTAGACCACTGAGCCATCTCACCAGCCCCCTGTCTTTCACTTTTTGAAACAGCATCTTAGCCTAGGTTGGCCTCAAACTCCTGCCTCAGCCTCCCAAATTCTGGGATTACAGGGGTCTATCACCATAACCAACTTCTTCCAATGCAGCAATTTTGAGAAAAGTAAAAATATTATTTGCTACAAAGTAATAGGAATAAGTATGGCAGTTTCAAGAAGTGAGGAAGTTAAATTGTCTCTCCATACATTTCTGATGGTATGATATTTGACAAGTTAAATATCAAGAAAAGCTGGCATGGTGGGGCACATCTGTAATCCTAGCACTCAGGAACTCAGGAGGCTGAGACAGGAGGATCACTGTGAGTTAGAGGCCAGCCTGGGCTACATAGTGAGTTCAAGACCAGCCTGGAACACATAATGAGACCTTGTCTCAAAAAGAAAAAAGCCAAAGCCAAAACTAACCCCTCCTCCCCCATATATATTTGGCTGGGGAGTTACTCACATTCACGAAAATGGCTCAGCTTGGTCACCACTTCCTTCTTGAACAGCTGAATGACCTGTTCAACAATCTCCCGGTTTCGGTTTTGGCCTAAGGCATCCAAGTATTTCTCCAGAAGTGGAACATTTTTCAGATTCCAGATAAAGTCGTCCCGACGGAGGATCCCTAACTTCGGGTGATGGAAGGTCTAAGGCAAAAAGCAAGGAGCAGTCTCAGAGTGACCAGCCTGCAGGATGACTCATTCTAGGGTCCTGATGACAGGATGTCCCCGACCTACGCTATCCACATCCACAGGCCCAGCGCCAGCCCTCCATGTTCACAGAGGACCTCGTGTTTGGTGACACAGCCCCGCCTCACTGCTGTGTGCCTGAGGAGGCCCCTCTCAAGTGCTCTGCTTTCCCTCTTCGGTCAGACCCTGGCCCTCAACCCCACCCTGGGCTCTGCCACCCTTCTCCCTGCCCTCCCCACCTTGGAGAAGCACCCAGCCCCTGCTTTCGCCACCTCGGTCCCTCCTACCACAAAGTGAGTACCTGTCCCTTTCCTCTCAACAGGTCTCTACTTACAAAAGCACCTTCTGGGCAGGAACTTCCTGATCACTCCATTTAAAATTCCAACAGACAGCAAATAAATATATGAAAAACTCTTCAACCCCACTGGTTATTTGAGAGATGCAAATAAAAACAACATTGAGTTTCCATCTCACCACAGAAAGAATGGCTATCAAGAAATCAAATAGTAACAAATGCTGGCTCTCCCTTCCCTTGTTGCTTTTGCTGTCTTCTGCTCCTTTGCTTTGTGCTACTCTGTCTTGGTGCTGGCAAATTATGGACTAAAATCTCTACAGACTATGAGCTAAATAGACCTTTCCTTCTTAAAAAAAAAAAAATGCTGGAGGAGCTGTGAGGAAAAAAGAATCCTTTTCCACTGTTTGTGGGAATGTAGACTAGTACAAGCACTGTGGAAATCAGTGTAGAGACTCCTCAAAAAAACTAGGACTCCTGGGATATAGCTCAGCAGCATAGTACCTGCCTGGCAAGCATGAAGTCCTGAGTCTGACTCCTGGTACAAAAACAAAACAAACAAACAACAAAACCTCGAAAATACTATGCTTGGAGGTCCCATTTGATCCAGCTATTCCTCTGCTAGGTATCTTCCAAGAAGAATTTAAAACACTGTACCACAGAAGTGTATGTGTACCCATGTTTATATTAGTATAATTTATAATAGCTAGATCTTGGAAACAACCCAAATGCCCATCAACTGAGGAATGGATAAGGAAGATGAAGTATTTTTGTATGGTAGAGTACTACTCTGCAATAAAAAAGGGTAAACTGGAGACTTTGGTAGGTAAATGGATGCGACTCGAGATCACATTCATTTTTATTTGGAGACAGGGTCTTGGTATACAGTTCAGTCTGAACTCACTTTTTCACCCAGTCTGGTCTTCAACTTGCAATGATCCTCTTGCCAGTCTCCTACATACTGCAATTTCAGGTGTGTGTCACCATGCCCAGCCCAAGACCATGCTCACTGGTGACATAAACCAGACACACGTGTGCAAACATCATATTGTTTCCCTAGTGTGAGAAGATGAAAGAGTAAATAAGATCCAAAGTGCACAATAGATCGTAAAATGGGAAGAAATTGCTCAAAAGGAAAGAGAAATTGGTGAGTTCAATCCCCAGTTCTGCCAAAAAAA